AGATTTGCAACCAAAAAAAGAAATAAATCCTCAACAATAAACATACATGGTACACACTTAATTCTTCTTCTTGTGAACATTTTATACAGTGATCCTTATCATAATACTGTGGGTTGAGCACTGGGAATAGTACATTTGCAGATTGTGGCTTATAAAATTGGTCAACACATTAGAGCACAAAAGAGGGGCATAACAATGTAAAGGCATAACTCATGTGGCTTTACAGTCATTTAAAGTGTCAGCACTTTTTCATCATTGATAGCTTTAAAGATGTTTAACAGTTTCAGGGTCTTCAGGTCTTTCCATTAACAGGGCTGTTGGCTGCCAGAACATTCAGCTGTACACTAGATTTAAACCCTGATGAAAACCCTCTTTACCATATTTTAAGGACTAATTGGCCTATAAGAGGCATTTAGAGGTTGGATTCCAATGTATTACACAGCACAGAATAGAAAACATTTGCACCAAACATTTGGCTAATTAAAACATATACTGTAATGTCTGTCATTTTTGCAGCAGGCATAAGTTTAATAGCAGTCAAGTATAAGCATTTTGCAGAATGACAGTCCAAAGAACAGGGCATCAACAGGAAATAATAAAAAATGGCCTTCATTCCAATCACTGCATTAATAATAAAGAAGAATGGTGTGCAGTATTTTTTTTACATATTTTCTGTTTTCTACTATATTTTATCTGCCTGATTCTTTATTTTCCATACGGACAATATCCAATATTATCTATTGAGATGTAAATCATTATAGCTCATGGTTAACAATTTACTGAGGACAATTCATATGTGCTAAATAAGAAGTGAAATACTGTAGGTTCTGAATGTGCTGGTGTGTCTGAAAGAAACTTGTTTGTCTAAGCCAAATTCAAACTCCAGTTAATTGGAGTCCACTTAATTCTTTGACTGCATAATGGTATACTGTCACACTGCCATTGATTCATGATGTTATGCAGATGCCATATTTTGCCTAAAAAACATGCTATTTGAACATATAAAATCACGTTGTTTATAAAACATATGAATTTCATACAGTACCTAGTGAGTTTTATTCCTCCAAATAAAACAAGTGAAGAGCTCTTCCCTGACGTTTTTCTACTATCGGGCCAATTTTCTTTACATAAAGGCTTCACCTGCTTAAAAACTCCTCTGGCCTGCTTCTTCACTGCCTCTCCATGAGCTTATTTGCCACAAGACTGTATACACCTCAAAGCAACAAAATCTACAGGGATACACAGAAAATGAGTCTCCGAAGAAAACAACTGACTATCTCCTCTCCAAGGAAACCTCACAGCCGTCTGATTAAATTGTCTCACTGTTCTACGGGTTGCTTCCAAACTAACCCATTAGCACAATGCAGTGGGGCTGGTTATAGGAATTGCAGATATGTTGTGTGGCGGTATCGCTGTTTAGGAGGACAAAAATAACATGATTTTGGATAAAAAATGAACTTTTATTGATTGGGCCCTACATTTTCATATGGTGAAGCAAATCTATGTACTTTTGGTTCTGTATGGTTCAGCTTCACATGGTTCAGCCCACCCCTCTATAGTATACTGTAGCATAGAAAATCAAGTATAGCAGAAATGCCTATTTGAGTTAAGGTCTATGATTTGAAACAAAGAGGTTTCAGTACATCCCAGTCCTGTTGTCATGGACAATTTAATTCATAACTTGTCATTCAAAAGAAATCAATATAAATAATGTTTAATTACAGTATGGTAATTATGTTAATTATGATAGAGTACTTTATGTGACAAGCACTGCACTGCTTAGTACTTTTTTAAAGGCCTAACAGAACATAAAAGGTTGTAGGAAATACTTGTCCTTGGCATTTAGTGTTGCCATGTAATGTGATTTGGTACTCCTCTAATGGCTTCATCCAATTGTTTGTGTGGAAACAATTCCAATTCCTATTTGTTGATAGGGTAGATTATATTCCAGTATACAATCATTGTTTGCACTGGATTAACAAGCAGAAAATAGACTATTAAATATTATTTTAGTGGAATAACTAAACCATTAATTTTCAAACCACCCATTTTCAAACCACTTTATTTATTACTGCGTCTCAGAGGCCTGGACACCCTGGACAGGACGCCAGTCCGTTGCATGGCAAACACAGAGAAAAACACACTCACACCAGAGCCAATTTGCTCAGAAGCCAATTAAACTACTGTACCAGTATGTCTTTGGACTGTGGGGGGAAACCAGAGTACAAAGAGGAAACCCATGTGAATATGAGGAAAGCTTACAAACTCCACACAGACAGCAGCCTGGGAATTGAACCCAGGGCCCCAGCACTGTGAGGCAACAGTGCTAACCACTGCACTTCCCTGTGAGTATTTTACAACATAAAAATTATACTAGCAACTTTTGCTCTTGCGTGGTGTTGCAGATTCTGTTTTTCTGGATTAAATTTGACTACCTTAAAACAGAAAATGTCTCAGCTGTAGTGTATAAAGGTCAGAGTTTCAGTTTACATACTGAGATAATGACACTAAGACATGAAAACAGCACTTTTTTTCTGATTAGAGGTAAGACAGTTACTTTTACAAAGTTTCAGAATCATCAAAATCTGAAAAGGAATACATTTTGTTTCAGGTTCATTTTGCCACACTGTAAATATTCAGTTTACTGAATACTAAGAGAATACTAAGTTCCCATGAACAATTTTCAAATTAAGTTACGAAACATGCCAGACTAGAAAAAAAATAACCTTCATTTAAATCATCCTTAGGAGGACATGTTAGAAAAGACAGCAACTTAGGGAAGCAGAAGCCTGGAAGACAAGAAATAAAGCAGCTTAAATAGTGAGGCGACGTGAGAGCTAGACAAGAAGGTGTCGGCTTGTATTTCATGTTCGGAGGCACAGAGGAGGCAGTGTTATCTATCAATGTGAAAAGAAATAAACGACACATTTATTATTCCATAAACGTGCAGCTACCAGAAATCAATAACAATACGAGGCTCAAGGAGTTTATTTATGACCCGCCTGGCTGTGTTTTCCCTGCTAAATGCAAGCTCAGAAGGCTTAGAGGGCCTCGGCGATTGCAGATATAATAGATTAGAAATGGAAGTTTAAATTGTGAGCCGCGCACCTTTGGCCACGCTAGAGTCTTTGAAATAGGCTGGCAAATGAAAGTGTTGCAGGCTTTGAAAAAGCTATGCAGTCTGCGCTGATGGAAATGCGTGGCTCTAGTCGGGGAAGCCCGTTTGCATTCCTTTAGAGTTTATAGGAATAGCTCATGAAATTACTTGGTCATTTCTTCCCTCTCGGTTGTCTAATGTGGATATTAGCTTGAAAAGCAATGCAACCAAAAAAGGAACATTACAGTACTCTCTTGTTAATGGAGTCCATTCCATTCGCATATTCTGTGCTGAAAAGAAACGCAGGCAGCATTTCTCTCTGCTGCAGCATGGGATCATGCCATTTTGTGTTAGGCATGTATGCATAACATGGACATATGTAGGATGTGCCTGTTCTGACCCGTGTAGCCAGCCAGGAAAAATAAAATCAATGGTAACTGTGACGTCCCAGTGAAAGCCGTGTGATAAAACAGTCAGGTAAGGCTTGCAGGGCTCAACAGTTCTCCAATATTACATTCAATATGTAAAAGAGGTGAGGTGATACAATTGCTCAGAGGTTAGTATTGTTTCCTTGCAACGATTCTAGACCTGGGGTGCTATCTGCGTGGCTTTTGTATGGTTTTTCTGTGTTTGCATGGGTTTTCACCTACAGACCATAGACATAATGGTACAAGTAGGTTAATTGACTTCTGGGAAAAATGACCCTGGTGTGAGTGTGTGTGTGTGTCTGTGTCTGCCCTGGACTCGTGTCGCATTCGGTGTGTTTCCTGCCTTGTGCCTGTCAGGAAACCAATTGGTAGAATAGGAGGATCCTTATGTGTAACCGTGAATCTCGCAGAATGCGGAGTAGCACAGGGACAATCCAAAAGACGTAATCCAGGGGCTTGGTCAAATAGGGAGGCAAAGAGTCCGGTAACGAGGGAAATCCAAAAAGACAATCCAAAAACAAAATCCAAAATGCGTGGTCAAAAGGCAGGAAAAAAATTAGGTACCAGGAAATCAGTCAAAAGGTTGTGAAACACACACAAGAGAGTTCTACTGGAAGCTTCTCAATAGTGAGCAAGGGTTGGTGTGTGAGAGAACTTTAAATACTGAAAGGAAAGGGATGCCATTGGATAATTGGTTTGGGAATGAGAATTTGTGGAATCTGGTGTATGTGGGAATGTGATAGGTTCAATTAGGAATGAGATTGTGAAACAGTGGGTTTGGGAATGCAACGGCGTTTGCGAGGGAGAGTGTGGGGCATGACAGTGCCCTTGCCAGGATAAACTCCAGCTATCCTGCAACCCTGAACTGGATAAAGTGGATAGGAAATGGATAGATATAAAAGACGGGGTAGTTAGATATTGACATTAGATAACAATCATTTCATCTTTCTCCCTCACCCATAGATTGTAACCATGATTAAGAGTAAGGAATATGTTTCCATATTTGAAAGAAAATTCTAATGAAAGTAAACACCAAAATTAAAAACATGCACCATTTGCCTTCTTTGCGTTAGCTGTTAAACAGTATTCAGCTAAACTAAAACAAATGCAAACCCCTGAGCTGTGATCTCTTATGACAAGCTTCTTCTCAAGCAGAAATCTGTGGTCAATAACAGCTTTTAGTTTCCTGATGGATGTTTGAGACGTAGCCTTCACAGTGCTCTCACATACTGTAAGTTAATGCAGATTATACTGAGTGAACAAAGGTCTGGAGAAGAATAACATTAATGAAGAACATTAAAAGTATTTTGGTACAGAGCTAAAGAGTACAAAGTGTTTATGGGTTACGCAGCCAATCCTCTCGATTCTGTTGAGATGTTTATCCTTAGTAAAGACAAAAAACATTAAAATCATTAATAAAACAATAATCAAGAGCTGCTCTGTTTGTTTTTTGTTGTGGGAAAACATGAACTTACCAGCAATGAGTTTTGACGGTTGTTGAATGGAACAGGTTCGGTAAGGAAGTCCGTGTTGTGGTCAAGCCGCTGGTGTCCACCATATTGAGCCATGTCAGAATCCAATTTAATTTTATACCTGGTGACAACAGGTTAAGGAACAGCTGATCCAAAGACAAAACATTTCAGGGCAAACCCATGTGTTTCAGAAGTTTCTAAGTAACCACATTTTAAATGTGATTGAGTCAGTTGCAATAAAATGGAAAAAAAATGACAAAAATCCAAGGCAAGATCAGCATATTCATTACTAAACATGCCACTAACATGTAGCAGCAAACAAACTGCTTGATATCTACTTCACAATGAAGGAATAAACACATCATTATAATTATACACAATAATGACACACCACTGTATTACAGTGAAATGGCTGAGAAGAATAAACAATGGCAATTAAAAATGATTTTTTAGAATACAAATGCAATTGAATAAGATTCAATAAATTGAAGCAAAATGAATATTAGAAATCACAGAATAAAGCATATTTTACCCAGAAATTATTGAATAGATCTGTTGTTGTGTTTGAGCATGGTCTCTTTTGTGGTTGATGTTGTGTTGAATACATACAATGTTTAATTGTTGGGCTCGGTATGAATGATTCAGAAATCTAGTATAATAACGTTGTTTAAATCTCAAATCTCAAACTCTGGTAGTTTATAAGTTTCCAGAAAATGACAGTAAGAAAGTCAGTATCCTCAAAGTCCTTCAGAACAAATTATGAGAAAGACAACTTTTTCAGTAGTTGTGCATAAAAGACAACATTGTTTTTCAAATGAGCAGAGCAAGACTATTGATTTTGTTTTAATGTTCTGCCGAAATTTATTGCTGCTTCCTCCCTTTATTATACCAAACAAATGGCTACAGCCGTATGCAAAAAAGAGCTGACTAAATCAAAGTGATGGTTTACAGATCTTTCATGTTTCCTACAACTTAACCTAGTTCTGTCAAGAATGTTTTTCAACTCGCAACTACTGAGCTATAGGTTTGGCGTTTCTGATAACTTTTTTAGTTTCTGCAGCCCAAGAGGGAAAGAATTTGAGATTTACCGTTGTTTGGAAAAGCGAGCCACTGATATGATGCATGCCTCTGAGAAAAAATAACAGCCTTCCCACTCAGAACCTGTCAATACCTCATAATGCTGCAGGCTGTGCTGTTGTCATTTTCTTGGACGGTCTGGCTTTTTTAATAAATGAAAATAGCCCCCCTTCATGAGAGAGGCCGGCACAAGCATTATTATTGGAAATTTGTAACTGGATTATGTGAATATAAAGCAGCGGAAATTTTGTTAAAATGAAAATTGGTAGGTATGTTGCCACAATGGATCCTATCAGAAACAAGTGGGAAAAATAGATCTAGTTAAATACAGTAAGCTAGTTTTCAGGGCAAACTTAATTCAAAACTGTAAAACTGATTTTGGTAGTTATCTTAGTAAAGATTATAGCAGTGGAAGTTCTAAACTCTTGTTTACAGGCTGTGTTAATGATTTTGGACAACACTTGTTACTCTTGCTCTTTAATGTGTGAATCTACCCTTTGAACTAACCTGAGGTAATGGTAATAGATTATGTTGCCATTTCTGCAGCAGACTGTCACATTAGACAACCAAATGATCCTTCATCATTACCCTCAACACCTGACTTTCTCTTCTCAGCTCTGTAGGTACACATATCCATACTACTGCCTACTGTATATACAGTATTCATTGTGCCAGAAACAATAATGTTGATCTTCACAGATTGTAAGATTATGGTAGAACAGACACCCTTAACTCTTTAAATACAGAAACAAGCAGAATCTGTACATGTTTAATCTATTTTAAGTCAGTGAAATAATGCACTCATGTACATGCCACATGTTTAATTCTTATACACAGGTTTATTTGTTTTTATGGTTTCTGGTTCAAAATCAAATAGATGTTTAATGGGGCATTTGTAAGTATGAGGCAGCAGTAGAACACATCACTGCAGGTATAGAGGAATGTTTCTAATATAAAATCTATGTTTCTTCTTGAACAAGGGCTGCAGAAACTGCAGAAGAGGTTTGATTTGCATAGAAAAAAACAGAAAGGAAGGAGTTAACTATATTTCCACGTATAAAGGGAAAAGTAAGAATACACATAGGCTTTCCATAGGTTCAGCTCAAAATGTGTTAAATAATATTAAGCATCCTGCACATTGCTCTTGACTGTCTGAACAAACGTATGACAAAGGCATCTGTCAGTTGGACATTTTTCATTACTTTCTAACTATTTTGCTCCTGAGGCAAGTTTCCCCCTCAAGTAATCATTAGCTAAAACATAATTTGCCACCCATTGGGATTGCATTACAGATCACACATTCACAGCAAGCTGACTGAATAACTAAAGGCTCAAAAGTAATGAAACATAAAGACAGAAATAGAGTCTTTAACCCTTTAACTCCAAGTTCTGAGGTAACTTTTGGACAAGTTTCTTTATTTGAAGCCTAGTGTCTGGTCACCCACTGATATTTATTTTCCTACTTAAATGAGTAATGTGTTATCAAGTATTGGATTACAGTTCAGCAATTATTGCAGGTCTTCATCTTACTTCCAGAACACTGGTCCATTGAAGCCAATAATTAGATAAATTAAGAGCACAGGTGGAATCAAACCCATAAATATAAGGCCTTTCATCACTGAAGTCGTGTACTTTAAATCTCTGAATGCTTTCACAGATATTTGTTGTGGTCTAATAAAAACAGTTTATGTTGATTTAACATTTCTCTGGAACTGTGATGTTTACTGTACGTCACAATCAACACCTCTGTATGTTGATAGAGATTGCTGCTTCAATATCTAAGACAACAGCAAGTGCAATCAAGAGGCCAAATTGATTTTAGCGCTCTTTCATACAGTAAATGTTAAATATCTCTCTAAGCGTGAAAGGACTGGGTAGGTTGCTGTTATTGAAAATTTGAGGGTATCTAGCTTTGATGGTGCTTGACCAGTTGTCTCATGACTGGAACTATAGGTCACAGTCAGTTCCTGACATGGTTCCGGCTCAACAAATGGCACCTGGAATGCAGGAATCAACTTGCATAACTGAATGGACCTACTGGATAAGTCATGTGGAAGCCTGATGTACACGAATGTTAACCCATGGTGCCATGGAGCTATGAAACTGTTTTTATAATGCTTGCTGGGTAGTTAATGGTTTTAAAAAAAACACTCACAGACAAAGGTGTGGGTTTAAACATACTGTATAAGCTATACAGAGCCTCCCACGTGATGTTACTATATATTATTAAGTGATTTCTGTACTGTGCCAATCCAACACAGTACAGAATACATGACAATACATGAACACAAAAAAAACATTTAGAATTCTTACAAGTGTAAAAAAATGGACTTTAGCTCTGAAGTGCCTCAAAATTATTTTCCACCCACAGCTTGTTTAAATTCATTTTATCTTTTTTGTATGCTAGATAAAGGTCGATAAACACATTTGGCTTTTCTTAATCGGAACAAACAGATGATATAGGAGTGTGAGGGGATTAATTGGAGTGCTGCAGGAACAATTACACAGTTTGAGATAAGTGTTCATCAGAGCCTGAGGAAGCAGCTTTACACTTTACAAACACTGGTTATGAAAGCAATACATTACCTTCTTCTCCAACAGTGTTTTAGCCATTTCCCAAGGCCCAAATGGGAGTCATCCAATGTCTACTAATTATTGTCTCTTAAGAAAGTGAAAATTACAAAGACCTAATTAAATATAAAGACCCAATGTGTTCTAGATATTTCCCCAAAGTACCAAAAAGATATGGTACCCTGAAGTATTCAGGCATCTGCATTTAAACAGAAATTCTCCCTTAAATTTAACCCTTACATATAATACTTTGTCCTGTCCATAACCATTTATTAAAAAGGTTTACAAAAACAAAAAAATATTACAGGGGTCACCTGCAAACCATACTGTACATTAATACTTCTTTTTTGAAACACAGTTTGGTGAGTGATAGTACTGTATAAGATTAATGTACATCTAATAGATGTCTTAGTAAAGAAACATGTACAGTATGCATAAGTTATTCATTAGAGACAACAGGTAATAGGATTTATACTGGGGTTGTTCATTACTTTTAAGAGCAAATGTTTCACTTATAAAGAACAGGTTATAAATAAAGTCCAATGCATTGCTCTGAATAGATAATGATACTGCATTCACAAAATGCAGTATAAACACAGCATTTGCTTCAGCTTGTTTCTTTCAAAACATCATGCTCAGAACAGCAGTAATGCTGGTAGATACAACTGTGAAATCAATTAGGCAAAGAGACTGATGAACCACCTTTGCAAACAAGCATACAGGTAAAAGCAGAAGCTTAAATATAGAAGCAATTTCAAGGTCTCCTACTACACAAACCACTCCCACGAGTTTTACAGGATGAATTTGAGCCTTTTGATGGGAAACTTGAAGCTTTTTTCATTTGTTTTTTTTTACCCAGAAGACCAGAATTTGGGGTATTATTTGTCTATAGTTAATAGCATAAGAAGATATGTGGCTCAGTGTAAGAAGTAACAAAAGTAAAAAAAAAACAAACATTGGCAATTACTGATGAAATGCTCCTATCTGACCCAGTTAAATGAAAAGGAATCAATCAGGTGCACTGCAAATAAATGTAATGTCTCCATGGGCACTTAGAGAAAGAATAATATGCAGGATATTGAAGAAGTAGTAGTTTACTGAGAAGTTTACTGTACAATTATCCAATTAATTCTTATTTTATTACATTTTAAATTACATTTAAAATAAACACTGAGGTGGTGGTGGTGGGGGATCCGACATTTTATGGTTAGCTAATTAGAACATTGTTCAATACTCAACTCTACTATATATCCTGTAAGGTTTACCTTTACTCTGCTTCAGCCTTTAGAAAACTGCAATGTCTAAAACATAGTATTTTTAAAACAAATTATCTCCCATAGAGATATCTGAGCCACATCAATACGGTTTTAAAGTTAGGGTCCACCCAGCCACTGTACTGTACTGTATGTTTCCAGCGATAGTTTAGGAGGCCTCCAAGGACAAGAAAAATTGAAAACACTTTCAATAAATGCT